GGAGGACTGTAAGTGGCTGCTGCTCCAACCACCAAATCTCCAGCATTAAATGCGCTTCCCGCCAGGATCTGGGTTTCCCGCTTAATTAGTGGGGACGTTCGTCCAGCTGGGGGAGGTGAGTTGCTCCTGGTGATATCGCAAAGGGTATTGGGCCGTTCGTACCCTGGCCCTTGAAGGATTTGTCATATGGATTGGATTGCCCCCAGTGGTTATGGGCTTGATCCGACGACGTTCGTCGTCATCTTTGTGGCATGTGGGTCTGATTCACTGTCGACTGTGTGGATGTTCGTCGGAATGGGCTGGTAAGCCAAGGTCTTGGTTACGACGTTCGTCTTTGCCAATTCCCCTGTTAACTTAGCCCACCCAGAGTCATGTCTGGACGTTCGTCCGAGTGAGGGGGTAAATGGGTCGGCCCCTGTTTGGGCCATTAACCCAACAGTAAGTAATGGATTGGTTTGAATTTGTGGAGAGACTGAGAGCAAGGAATGAAAAAGAAAGGAATGTCAATGCTATAAGATTAAGGAAAAGAGGTGCTGAAGAGGTGGAATTTCATGTTAATGCCACAACTGCAACACAGAGGTTCCATGCTTTGTATGACTCCATGGAAGACAGTGATGGCCATTCGTTAGCCTATGTAATGTTGGTCAAACATTAAGGACAATACTACCTCCGTCCCAAATTGATTTGCAAATTTGACTTTTCTTGGTCAAACAGTTTGATTTTATTTGCTTAATTAGGATGTCAATTTTTAATTATATTCTAATTTTGAGTTTGCAACTTTGAAGAGATTTTAATGTAGTGTCTCAATATGTGAATTTTAATTATTAAAAATTGAGTTAATTATCGATATAGAGGATTGACTTTTATTATTAGTTGACCAAAAAATGCTGACTTTGGAAAACAATTTGGGACGGGGGGAGTATATATTTTGGGAAGATCCTATTGCCATTTTTTGCATAATATATGGGCTTTTATGGATCTTAAACCTAGAAGATATGTATATGGGCTTATGAGGGTCATTTGCAAGTTTTTTGTGTTATTTGTACTTGTATATGATATTCAGGTGATGTAGGGTTAAACTTGAAACATGTATGTATTAAACTCAATGCTTTCAGTTCATGGGCTTTAAGTTCATGTATGTTGTGAATGAAATATCAGTTATTCAGTCATGTTGTGAATGAAATATCAATTCATGTATAAGTTCATGCATGTTGTGAATGAAATATCAATTATTCAGTTAATGTATAACTTCATGTATGTTGTGAATGAAATATCAGTTATTCAGTTAATGACTTCATATATCAGTTAATGTTTCAGATCATTCTTTGAGTGAGACATGTCTTATTTCAGGTGATTCTTTGAGTGAGACATGGCTTATTTCAAGTCGATGTTTTAGGTCATTGTTCAAGCTCAAATCTCAATTAATGTTTGACTCAAGTGTGTTCAGATATGAGGTCATTGTTATAGTTCAAATTTTAGTTGAATTTTGAGGTCATTGTTTAAGGGCAATGTTTCAGTGAACAAATTTGTACTACTTTCAGGTCAGGTTTTGAGGTGTTTATATCAGGTTATATGTCAGGTTTAGACTACATGTAATTTTTTAGGTCAATTTTTGAGCTCATTATATCAGGTCATATATCAGTGCATGTTGGAGGTTATTTTTTAGTATTGAGATTTGAGGTCATTGTAAAGGTCATAACAGGCCATATTTGAGGTCCATATCAGCCCATTCATTTACTCAGGAATGATCATTGTTGCAGATCAATACTGGCAAACTTTGAGGTCATATTTCAGGTCATTGTTAAGGTCATATTTAGGCCATATCAGGCCATATTTCAGGTCATATTTAGGCCATATCAGGCCATATTTGAGCTCCTACTTTGAGGTCATATTTGAGATCATTGTTATGGTCATATCAGGCCATATTTGAACTCAAACTTTGAGAACATATTTCAGGTCATTGTTAAGGTCATATTTAGGCCATATCAGTGTTGGAATTTTAGAGTATTTCAAATAAATATAATATTGCTTTATTTGTGACAAAATTCATTAGAACTTAAAATGATCTTTTTCTCACCCATATTTTAATGTAGGTTTTCTCTTGGTTGGTCATATTCTATAACGCATAGGCATTGGCCATTATAAATTATTTGATCCTAATTAACATCCACTATCATCTTTAATTTAATATTTAATGTGCATTAACGGTTAAGAAGAGAAAACATATGGATGCTTTATTATAAGCTTGCAATCTTGAATAGTATATGAGGGGATACATGTAGTAGTTGGGTTCAGGGGTTTTTGAGACAAAAGGAGTTTATACATAATCATATTATACGTGAGTGCAACCGTGTGGATCCTGAAAATTTTCATATTGTATCAACACTATAAAAGTATCTTGTTTATAATCCCCCAAGGGTGCTTGGTGACTCGGTGCTTGATGGCTCGGCTGATTTGCTACGGTTTATGAAAGGATATATCACAAATTATTTATATTTTGTTTAAATGATTATTGGGTTCATATATTGTTTCTTCTCGTTAGTTCTGGTACCGGTTTTGTACCGAAGGGCTCGTTATATCTTGGGGGAAATTTCCGTACGCCGGGAATAATTCCTTAGGACAGCGTCTGACGCGTCTCGAGCCACTGATATATTTTTAGTTCTTTTTAGTGATTATTTTGCAGGTCGATTCTCGGAGCTAGATGATCAACGAGGTCAATTTATGAGCAACACGGTCAACACGTTGATTTTGGAGGGATAGAGCCAACAATCAGGCCATATTTGAGGTCATATTTAGGCCATATCAGATCATATTTGAGCTCATACTTTGAGGTCATATTTCAGGTCATTGTTAAGGTCATATCAGGCCATATTTGACCTCATACTTTGAGGTCATATTTCAGGTCATTGTTAAGGTCATATTTAGGCCATATAAGGCCATATTTGAGGTCATATTTAGGCCATATCAGACCATATTTGTGCTCCTACTTTGAGGTCATATTTCAGGTCATTATTAAGGTCATATCAGGCCATATTTGACCTCATATTTCAGGTCATTGTTAAGGTCATATTTAAGCCATATCAGGCCACATTTGAGGTCATATCTAGGTCATATCAGGCCATATTTGAGGCCATACTATGGTGTTTATCTCAGTCAAGAATGATCATTGTTTCAGATCATATCAGGCCATATTTGAGGTCCATATCACCCCATTGCTTCACTCAGGAATGATCATTGTTACAGATGAATACTGGCAAACTTTGAGGTCCATATCAGGCCATTGGGTGCTGTTATCAAATGAAGTTTGAGTGCATTGTTTGAGTTAAAATATGCAATTGGGTGCTAATATCATGGAAACGGATGAATGGTCAAAATAAAAGTCATTCTACATATCATTCAAAGAAACAGAGTACAAATATTGTGCTACATCATAGCACACTAAGTGATACACCTAAATTACATCAACTTAAACTGATACATCAAACCTAAGCAGCTCATAAATCATACTCAAGAACTAATACATCAAACATCAACTTCAAGTGATACACCTAAGAACTTATACATCAAAGCTAAGACAGTGATACATCAAAGCTAACAAAATGATACATCAATTCATAAAACTTTCATTCTAACTTAATCCATGCCAGCATCACACATCTTCCGAGCTATCTTCTTCTTGCTTCCACTGTCATTCCAAACAACCCATATCACAAACAACACTATTCCTGCAAGAATGCACCACAAGACACCCCAAATTCTCTATTTTTTAGACAGACCCTTTTCCTTTGCCTTCTCCTCAACAAGCTGAACTTCCAATTTGTTTATTTTCCTCAACAAACCGGGAATAATCATCTTGGACCTATAACACATTTCTTCATCAAACCATTCGAACATGTTGCAACAGGCACCTGTACCCTATTTGTAATAATACCATTAATTCAAGAAGAATCAAAATCAACAACAAATCATAAATAACATATTTTCATCATTCGAATGGCCTTACACTTGAGCAGTGGATGAATCGTCTCAAATTTCATAGTAGCAATTTCATAGTAGCAATTTCCATAAGACATTTGTCTGGTTCCCAAATTCGGAATTCCATAAGACTTTTCCATTAGTTTTGCATTTTTAGCCTTCTCCGAAATCGGAATATGGTGCCATACGGGTCCAATGGCTATTGAATCCGGATCCATATTTGACTGGTTGTTTCCTGCCTTATCATTTTCTTCCTCCTCTTTGGCTCGTCATTACTCGTTAGTGTTGAAATGGGCGTATGGAGCGGCGGAAGAGGGAATGTATGGGGAGTGGGACCCTTCCATCCTGGGGGCTGGAATGGGAGGAAGAGACGGGAAAGAAACGCCAGGAATGGAGATTCCAATTCCATCAATGCGACTCGCGGCACCGGCTACTGGTTCCCTGCCAAACAAGCCATCGCTTCCGGCTCTCTTGCCCTTACCGGAGACACCATCGCTCAGCTCCGCCATCGGTGGGTGAAGAACAAAGACCTTCCGCAACCTCCGCAGTTGCCGGTATGAACCCTTTATGTTTCTTCATATTTTGTAAACTGAATTACTGAACCTTGATACTCAAAACAACTGACATTGAGTTTTTCCATTTCTTCTTAACACTTATAGTGCCGAAATTTGAAGTATCCCTGTGAATTCCAAATGTTTTACAATATACACACAACGTATTGGCATTTATGTGAATTCTTAATTTCATTTTAGTCCAAAATAGAGATTGTGTTGGAAATGTGATTGAGTTGTTATTTTCGTTCCTTCATTTGGTGCTGCGATAAGCTGGGGATTTTATTAACCAGCATTATTATTATCGCTTTTCTAATATTATAGTAAAGCCTTAAGAATGTGGGCGCAATGAGAAACATGGGTTCCCTGATTCTACAGCAATCTTCCAAATGATGAGTGTTTAAAGTTCTCTTGTATGGTTTTCAGAAAGTTTGAACCGTTGCCCAGATAATCAACGATAAATAAATACTGTTGCCCAAAGCCAAAAGGCTAAACCAACTTTTATTCCAAGATGAGCCAGAATGAATCCTAACAAGGGGTTTAAATACCCATCTACTAATAATTAAACTAGGAAACAAAATCCTAGAAATCCTAATCAACTCTAACTAGGAAACAGAATAATAAAGATCATAATCAACTCTAACTAGGAAACAAATAATAGAGATCCTAATTAACTCCTAATAGGAAACAAATCAGGATAATTAAAAAGAATAAATATTAATTAAACAGCCCGTAACCAGCCCACGGAGGTAGGCTCAAGCCCGTCCCGCCTTCGGTAAACCCACGGGGGCTTCTTTCCCTCTTCTTCCAAGCCCATATTCTGCTTCATATCAATTCCATCCCTCTTCGAAAAAACCTTGTCCTCAAGGTTGAAATCCGGAAACCGGCTCATATTTGTCCCTGGGGGCTTCCCCGTATCTTGAGGAAAGCTGCAACTTGATCTTTTCAGCTTGTTCATGAAATCCCCCAAGTAATAATCATCGGACAGTCCGGGAACCTGACTGGCCAATTGAACAAAAAGGTTATTATATTCCTTTACGGTTCCCAACTGTTTGACCCCGAACAACTGTTTGAATCGGCTTTCTTTGAACCGTGAATCAAATTGGGCCACCTGTGCTTGTGTAAATTTCTCCCAGGTCATGCTCGGTTTTTGTGCCTTCAACCAGGTCAACCCGTCCAAGGCAGCTCCTTCCATGGCTACCGTGGTTGCTGTCACTTTCCTCTCAGGTAGGGTTTGATTAATTTCGAACTTTTGCTCAGCCTTAGCTATCCACCTAATCGGTTCTTTTCTGTCGAACATGGGCAGCAACGTTGGAGGAGTGCTGCGCAGAGGTCCGTCGTTGTGTGTTGCCGCTACGATGGCGGCACTGATGACTGTGTCTGACGGTGTCTCCGTCGTGATCGATGGCACAAGGGCCTTGGTCAGCGCCGCAAGGGATGCGGCGATCTCAGCCTGCCGCCTGCCGTTTGCTTCCAGGGTTTGCTTCATCTCTGACAAATGTTCACTGATAGATCTCGTCATTCTGGCGGGACGGGATCCGGCAGGTCGGACCAATTAATAAGAACAGAAAAAATAAAATCAACGGGGTGAACCGTTGCCCAGATAATCAACGATAAATAAATACCGTTGCCCAAAGCCAAAAGACTAAACCAACTTTTATTCCAAGATGAGCCAGAATGAATCCTAACAAGGAGTTTAAATACCCATCTACTAATAATTAAACTAGGAAACAAAATCCTAGAAATCCTAATCAACTCTAACTAGGAAACAGAATAATAAAGATCATAATCAACTCTAACTAGGAAACAAATAATAGAGATCCTAATTAACTCCTAATAGGAAACAAATCAGGATAATTAAAAAGAATTAATATTAATTAAACAGCCCGTAACCAGCCCACGGAGGTAGGCTCAAGCCCGTCCCGCCTTCGGTAAACCCACGGGGGCTTCTTTCCCTCTTCTTCCAAGCCCATATTCTGCTTCATATCAAAGTTTTGTAAATATTTTTTAGAAATCAACAGAATCATCAAATCATCCACTTCAGCCAAAACTTCATATATTTCAACAGAATCAACCAATTCAATCAATTTCAGTTTTACCAAACGGACCCTTAACTTCATCCCAGTTTAAGGTTTTCATTGCAAAAATGACACGATTATTTGGACAATAATTAAATAAGGTAATTCGAGTACATTTTTTAAAATAATTTTGATGGTTATATAATATAATAGGATCACGGATGATAACTGTGATGTTATGAATAATTGGATATATTATTTTTAATATTTGATGAATAAATGATCATTTAAGAGTGTTAATTGTTTCCTAAAATAGAAATAAGAACCTTTATATGGACATCCAAAAAAGAAAAGTGAGAACCTTAGAATGGGACGGAGAGAGTAACTAATAAAGAATAAAATGGTGTTTTACATTTTTAACCTCCAAAAGGTAAGAAAGGGCAAGATGGGTCTACCAGAAGTAAAGGGTGAAATGATAGATAAAGGGATAAAGTAGTAAAGGAAAAAGTTAGGCAATTTAGGAAGGTGATCATATTTTTAGGACATTCCAAAAAGGAAAATGTATCTTGCAAAATGGGATGAAGGAAGTAATAATTGAAGGATATGTTCAAACATATTGTTATGGACCTAGCCTATACTAGACTCATAGCAAGACGCTAAGCCCAGATGTAGAACTCACTCCCAAAAGACTAGCCGATTAGGAGGAGGGACACCTAGTAAGTCAACGTCCTCGTTGGTCACGACTATGTTGGTCACGGTTGACACCCCCGAGGCCCAAGCCACCACTCCATAGGCCACAACTCCGAGTGTCGTGACCAGGAAGATGGGAATGGCTTTGATACCATTTGTTATGGACCTAGCCCAATAGCCCATACTAGCCCCATAGCAAGGGTCTAAGCCCAGATGTAGAACTCACTCCCAAACTAGCCGATTAGGAGGAGGGGACACCTAGCTTATAAGCCACGGGTCAATCCCATAATTGACCGGTGTGGGATCGTTACACATATATAGTTTTTGTTTTTGTTTTTAAGTATGTTTCTTCATATTCATGGTTAGAGTTAAAAGGTACATATATTCCTTATAAAAATAAAATTAAAAAGTTAAAAAATCTTGGGATAATCTAGGTGCTTTGCACAGGCAACTAGTTGTATAGGAGTTTGTAGACAAAAATCGGGGTGATGGACCACCCCTTGGCACCTACTCATGCGCAGCAATTTTTAGAGAAGTGGAATACGGTTGCGGAATTTTCATTTCACTACTTCTTAAGGTTGTGACTGGAGGAGCATCCAGCTTAAAACTTTGCCACTCTGTTTTTCTGCATGAACTTATAGGCTTATAGCCTTGCCTAATTTCAAACAAACCGAAAAATGTAATGCTACTGACCCCAATAGTTGGGATTAAATTGCACAGGATGTCGCAGGAGTTCTGCTTTCTGAGCATGACTGGCTCCGAGCTCTTCGGATGGGTTCATATGGATTTTTACTATACGGACCTGCTACTTTTTCATGGTACAAGTTTCTTGACCACTGCATGCCAAAGCCATCAGTTCAGAATTTGTTTATGAAGGTTCTTTCTGTTTTTCTTTACTTTTACTCTACGGAAGTATTTAGCCTCTGATGAATTATAGATTATAAGAGAGGGGCAAAATTCTTGAGTGCAGGTTTTGCTTAATCAAGTTGTTCTCGGCCCTTGTGTGATTGCTGTTGTTTTTGCCTGGAATAATTTATGGTTAGGGAAACTCTCTGAGCTTCCAAATAAGTATCGCAGAGATGCTCTCCCAACTCTGCTTTTTGGTATTCATAATCTCACAACCACACTTCTTCCTATGGCATTTTTATCTTCCACAAGGATACTACTTTTTATTTGTTTTAATTATTGTTTCTTTGTTTATTTCTAACCTGTACAGGGTTTAGGTTCTGGATCCCTGTTAGTGTTTTGAATTTCTGGTAATATCTTCAACTAGCCTTTTACAGTTTTTATCAAAACTGCATCCCCTTAGGGATGATCAAGGGCTGAGTAGCGAGTAGGACCAGTTACTTGGGATTACTCGATGATTACTCGGCCCTGTATGAATTAAAGTTAATAATATAGACGCCCGAGATTATAGACATTATAGTTTTGAAATTGCTTTAAAATGCATAGAAATGAATGAAATGATAAAAATCATTTCTGACTCACTCTCCCTTACGGGAGGTCTCGGGTTCGAAACTCAATGGAGTGAGTTTCAGCCCTGATTACGTCTATGCCCCCAGCCCCCCTTCCCCAGAGCCCCCTAAAGTTAAAAAATAAAAAAGAAGAAGATAAAAATCATAATAATGAAGTAGCAAAAGTCATAAACATTCTATGTTTTAAGGTCATGATAGTAATCTTCATTGGGTTAAAGGTCGTGATAGTAATCTTCATTGGATTAAAGGTAGTGATAGTAATCTTCATTGGGTTAAAGGTCGTGATTTTCTTCTTCATCCACCATGTCCCCAAATAGATCTTTAGTAGTCAGATCCCCCCACTTGTTCTTCCTCTTCCACATCGAGGTCATCTAAATCAATATCAAGCAGCCGGTATGCAAATTGTGATGCGTTCACATTCTCCTTTCTATTTCGACTCAGTGTATTTGTCTATGCCTCGGTGGCTTATTGCGCTGCTCGTACAGTCGTACTTGTTCCCAAGTCAAATCATCACTCTAGGAGGGTAGCCGATGTCTGAAACTCTTTTAAATCTAAGCTTTGTATCATAGATTTTCAGATTTTATTAGTGACCAAGTAAGTCCACCCAACTCGCCAAGTTAAGAAACTCGCCGAGTACTCGGCAAGTAACTCGGAAATAATATACAGACCGAGTCAAGTAGTTAATCGGCAAGGTCGCCACCCGAGTTGCAAGTACTCACCGAGTAGATAACCCAGCCAGTATCTGCTTATCATCTAGGGTAATCTCACTGTTATCACTGCTTCTACGGCCAAATTACCAAATTGGTAAAAAAAAGAGGGTGTCTTACCATATTGGTAAAAAAACCATTTGAGACAAATTGGTAAAAAAAACTTCAGTGACAAATTGGTCAATTTTTTTTTAGTAAGACACTTTTGGTCCTCGACTTTAGAATTCCCTACCTTTCATATACTTCTATTAAGTTTCGTGAAATTGACATTTTTCTGTCATTTTACTTTGATTTTGTCAAAAGGAAAGGACTGAAAATGTCAACAGTCGTTTTTGATAATAGTAGTTGTCACCTAACTAATAGGTGATTGAATCTAGACATGTCCTCGGTTTCCGGTTCAACCGGAACCGAAACCGGAATCGGCGGTTTTCAAACCAGAAAATGTTAGTTTTTTCTTTGAAATAAAATGTTAGTAATTCAATTGTTTGCAATTAGCTTTTAAGACGTAAAATGATCATTAAGAATATGAATTTAAAAGTTTATATATTTAATTAAATTTTCTTTCTTTTATTTTTAATAAGTTGGAAAAAGTTTTAAAAATTATATTTACATTTGTTTTAAATAACCATTAACACTGTCATTTTTAACATATGTATATTAATGCGATCACACTCATATAAATTCATATATTTTTAGTATTAATATTTTAAATATGACTATTTATTAATTTTTTTAAAAAATCTACTTGATTCTGTTAACTTTTTTAACTAATCACTTTCATTAGCGGTTTGAAGCAAAATGTTAGTAATTTAACCATTTGTAATTAAATGTTAAGACGTAAAATGACCATTAAGGATATGAATGTAGAAGTATATATATTTAACTTAACTTTATTTTTTTAGTTTCAAAATGATAGTGTTATTTAAAATAAACGAAAATAAAGTCTTGGCAAAATGATAGTGTTAGTAGTTATTTAAAATAAACAAAAATAAACAATTTAAAACTTTTTGCAAGACATATCCCTAATGGTCATTTTACATCTTAAAAACTACTCCATAATTATTAACAACTAAGTTACTAACAATTTATTTCAAACCGCTAATGAAAGTGGTTAATAAAAAATCCCAACGGAATCCGTTGACATTTTTAGTCATCCCCTTTTGATGAAAAAATCAAAGTAGAAGAACTGAAAATGTCAATGTCATAATACTTAAAATATGAAATGTCGGAAATTCTAAAATCGAGAAATAAAAGTGTCTCGCTAAAAAAAATGACCAATTTGTAACGGAGACTTCTTTTTTTTTTTTACCAATTTGTCTCAGATAGTTTTTTTTACCAAACTGGTAAGACACCCTCTTTTTTACCAATCTGGTAATTTGGCCCTGCTTCTACCTCCATCAAACTTGCATTCGATATACTCAGTCTTACATTGACTCAATTTGAAACTCGTGTTCTCTAATATTTGTTGTCATACTTTCAACTTTTCTTAATTATCCGATTGTGTCTCATCAATCAATATAATATTGTCAGCAAACATCATGCACCTTCGCATATCATCTTGAGTTTCGTAAGTTGATCTATGACTATAGAAAATCAGAAAGGGCTTAGAGTCGATCCTTCGTGCACTTTGATA